TTCAATTTTTTCGATTTTTCGAAAGATTCCCAGTGCGAACTTATCATTATTTGGAGTACGGTAGATGCGAATGAATGAAAAAGCGGCAAAACACAAAATTGAAATGAGCAATGCTCATTTGGTGTGCGAAAACCACTATACAAAAATGCAGAAAAGTTCTGAAACGTCGGGCTCTAAAACGTCCAGGAACCGAGAATTGGGGGATTTTCGAGTTCTATTTGTGAAGGGGCCCTTCTAATACAGGTTTTACGGTATTCAAAATTTCTGAATTTCTGATTTTTCAACCCAAAAAACTCACTTGGAAAGCATAGTCAACGCCCATCCATCCACGGCAATATCCTGAGTGGCAGCCAAAAAGTTCAATGGTAAAAAGATGAGCATTAGGAAGACGACGTTGGGGGATCCACCATTTTCTCCCATGATATCATTAACTTTGAATGATAAATAGAGCATAAATGCTCCAATTAAATACTGACAAGGCACCATCCAGGATTTCCGGCGACCCAAACGTTTCGAATAAACTGAATCGACGATGGGAGCCCAGAGGAGTTTCATACTGAAAAATTAGAGATTTTAGGAGCTTAAAATTGGCTGAAAATGACGAAAAATGAGGAATTTAGAGTCAAAAAAACTATTTTTCAGAACTTCCTTTTTCAACAATTTCGAATTTTAAGGTGTTTAGATATTTCAGAATTAGATTCAGAATTTCCAGAATTTCGAAAGGTCAATAATTTTTTTTGGATAATTTTCAGAATTTCCGATAATTTCGGATTTTTGAGAATTTTCAGATTTTCAGACTTGTCAAATTTTACGGTGTTTTGAATTTTTAGAAATTTTGGAATTTCAATATTTTAGAAGAAAATTTTGAATTCCAGGTAATTTACGATTTTTGAGAATTTTAGAAAATTGTGGATTTTTCGAATTTCACAGTTTCAGATTTTTAGAATTTTCAGAATTTTCGAAAATTTTGGGAATTTCAGATATATTTGAATTCTTCAAAATTTCCAATATTTCCAACTTTGCTTTTCTAGAATTTCCAGAATTATTAGAATTTTTAAAAAATTTGGATTTTTGGACTTTTTTTGATTTTGATAATTTTTAAATTTTTGAAATTTCAGATTTGAAAAATGCAATAAAATTTGAATTTTAGATATTTTTCAATTTTAAAATTTTTTGATTTTTCAGAATTTTTTAGATATTCAAAATTTCCAACATCTTAGAATTTCAGAAAGTTTTGGATTTTTTCGAATTTTTACGATTTTCAGAATTTCCAAGTACTTTAAGCATTTACGGAGAATTTTATTGGCTGAAAACAATGAAAAATTGTGAAATTTCAGATTTGGAAAATGCTTAAAATATTGAATTTTAGATATTCTTCAGTTTTAAAAATTTTGGATGTTTTTCAGTTTTCAGAATTTCCAAAAATTCTCAAAATTGGCTGAAAATATGAAAAACGATGAAAAACTGTGAAATTTTAGTTATTTTTTTCATATTTTTAGATTCTGAAAATATGAATTTTTCAGATTTTTGAAATTTCACGGAGTTTAGAATTTTCAGATTTTTCAGAATTCAATTTTTTTTTAATTAAAATGTTCGATTTTTTTCGGAATTTTTGAATTTCTAAATTTTTTTTTCAATTTTTAGGATTTCCAGATTTTTCGAGAAATCCAGGTCGAAAATTCTAGAATTTCCCCTCAAACTTTTTCACTAAAAACCTCAATTTTTGCAATTTTTCTACAAAATACCAACCTGAACGGCCAATAAGCGAACGAGAAAATGGCTTGAGACGAGTACGAAGCATGTTTCGAACTCAGCAAAAGCGGAATGGCTCCAATTAACCCCAATGGGACTCCTTGAAGAAGATAAAGGAATAATAGCAATAATATCGATGAGATATCCCCTTTTAGTGTTGCATGCGTCCGTTTGAACCAATTGGCATTCGGATCGACGTTCTGGAAATTTCGAATTGTCCCAATGATCTTTTTTCCGTTTAAAATTGCTTAATTGTAGCTTTCAACCCAATTTTTTCCCAAAAAAAAGTCAAATTTTCTAGGGTTAGAATAGTCCATTTTTGTTAGTTTTTAGTGTGTTTTTTTTCAGCTCATGAAAACTGACAGGATCGGGTAACAAGTGTTGCAGGTCTTCGTCTCCATATCCATCGCTACTCTCTCCATCATCGTCTTGTCGCAAAAAGACACGTGGAAAGTGGCCGCCGGCGGTGGAGAAATCCACATCGGGCTCAAAAGCCATCACATCTTCAGAAGTGTGCGGAAGACGGCGTTTATGGCGAGAACGAACGCGTTCTGTCATGGCTGGAAGGGTGGTTCGGTGGTAATTTCGAGAATTTACAAAGTTCGGAGCAAACGAGGCGAAAAAAGGGTTTTCTAGGAAGTTCTAGATGAAAAATTCAGATTTATAGATGGATTTTACACAAGGAACTGCGTTTTCCGCATCTTTTTTTTCTTCAAAAATTACTTTTTTTTTGAAATTTTTTCCAAAAAATTCTCACCGAGACCCGCTGTTGTCTCAACTTCAGAATCGATATCGATATAGGTTTCTCGCATCGCGAATAATTAGAAATCTGATGACAAAAAATATAAATTTTGAATGAAAAAAAGGCGAGCGACAGGTTTTCATAGAAGAAGAGAGAAAGTAGGTCAGACACTGTAGTCAAACACACACCGATAGATTTGTTCTTTTTTCGCCTTTTTTCCGACTTTTTTTCTTGAAAAAGTTCCGATTTTGAGCGGAGAAAACGGAGGAAAACGGCAGAGACACGTTGCAAAAAACCAGAAAATTAGGTGTCGATTTACGGTAAATAACGCGCGCACGACCGGGTGCGCGGAGCATCGTTGTTGGCGGGAGTTTGAAAAGGGGTTTTGTGAGAGCGGTATACATAATTAGCGAATTTCAGGTGTAATTTGTGATTTTACAGCTTTTTTCTGAGGTTTTCAATAAAAATAAAACTCATAAAACAAAAAAAATTTCGAAAATCCAAGAAAAATTCCAATTCCAACCGGAAAAAATACAAATAGAAGAAAAATCTCATTTTAATATGATAAGAAGGGATACAGATGATTGATAATTGGATAATTGGAAGAGAATAGACAAAGAAATTCAAAATTTTTATTAAGACTTTGAAATTGTCAAAATTTTTCGTAAAAGTCCAAAAAACACATTTTTAACAGACGAAAATTAGTTTTCAGCTGGGTTAGGACAAACAGACACACAGACCGAACACAAACTACAAGATCAAACATTTCAAAAAATTGAAAACTCTAAATTTTTTTTGCAAATTTCCCAATTAAAAAAATTTAATTAGTGCGCTAATTGGCTTAAAAATTTATTTTGAACGGAATTTTCTTCGAAAAATAGCTGAACCATAAAATTGACCAATAAACCAGAAACTGATTTTTTTCGAAAAAAAAAGTTGGACAAATTTTTTTTATCAGGAAAAAAAAGAAAAAAGTGAAAGTGATGATTTTAAAAAAATTATTAAAAAAAATTTTTTTTTGAAAAAAGTGTCCCAAACCTTTTGATTCTTCTTCTTCTCCTCTCTCCGTATCCATTTCTCATCCTCCATCATCTCTTTTCGTTTCCTAACGTCCACTTCTGACGTCTTCTGGCACTCCACGTCTTCAGAATTCTGATTTTCAGAATTTTCAGAACCCACCGATGTCTTCTGATTTTCAACGTCTTCATCTTCTGCTAGTGGGCATTGTGATGGATGTGGTTGAATAGTAGAGTCGAATTCATAGGGCCCAATGTTCATTTTTAGGAATTTTAGAATTTTAGAAATTCAGAATTTTGAAGAATAGAAGACGTCGGCGTCTTCCAAATGGGCGGTTCCAACTACTTGAACTTTCTTCAGAGCGAGAGAGAGAGAGAGAGGCGCAGACAGTGTTGAGAAAAGAATTTGGAAGAGGCGACTGATACGAAAATATCAGAAGAATCTCAGTCCGGTTCGAATCGATCCTCCTTTTTTCGCTGTGACTTTCGGAGATAAAAGAAAACAGAAAAGCGTCAAAATGATAAATGATAAGCGAGAAAATATGTGAAACGCCTAGATATCTGTTTTGGAAAGAAAAATTGACTCAAAAATCATGAAATTTGAGCCAAAAATCATGAAAAATGACCCAAAAATTATGAAAAATGACTCAAAAAATCATAAGAATTTGAGCCAAAAATAATGAAAAATGACCCGAAAAGCAAAGAAAATTCAAAAATCTTTGGTTTAGTCTGGAGACAAAAAGGTTTTTTATCATATCAGATGACCCTTATCATTGGAATTTGGGTGTTCCAATTCCGATCTTCTTTTTAATGGTCAGTATCAAATTAGTTCCAAGTTTTCAGTGTCAAAATTTTAAGCTAAAATATCTCGGTTACTGTAAGAGATATCAAGAAGTTGTCAACTGATAAAATATTGGTGATAGTATGATAAACATTTTATCATTTGACAAATTTTTGATATCTCTTACAGCAAGCGAGATATATAGGTTCAAAGTTGAGAGAGCCCTTATATCTCAGGGTTCGAGGTGAAAGGCTAGCTGTCGCAACTCATAACTCCGGCTTCAGTTTACCGATTTCTTTGAATCTTTGATTTTTGGAATTGTCAGATTTTATGGATCAAAACCATTTTAAATTTGACCGGCTTTCTTCAAAAATCCACTTTTGGGAGCAGCTTCTTTGCCGTTCAAGGGACAAAAAGTGAGCACCTTTAACTTTCAGCCCATTCATCTCAATTCTTGTAAGAGATATCAAAATTTTGTCAACTGATAAAATGTTGGTGATATTATGATACATATTTTATCAGTTGACAAGTTTTTGATATCTTTTACAGAACGCTCGATAAGCTGGCTCAAAGTTAAAAGTTCGAGAGCCATTCTATTAGATCCCCAAACCATTGACTTTAAGCCAATTTATCTCGGTTCCTGTAAAAGATATGAAAAAACAGCCAATTGATAAAGTGTTGGTGATATTATGATAAACATTTTATTAGTTGATCACTTTTTGGTATCTTATATACGGAATGAGATATAAGGGCTCAAAGTTGACAGACAAAAAAATTCAAAATTTTTTCGAAGAATCCCAATCTGATCTTTGGTGATTTCCAACGTTTTTTCATTCCATTCATCAATCACTCCTCTCTTCTTCTCCCAATCAATGCTAACCAACTTCACAAAGACAATAGAACGGTTCATGGGCGTCTTTGTCTATTTACTTCTTTTGTAATTGATCAGTTCATAGGGTCACAAGCTACACAATATTCAAAAAGACCAATTTTCAGGAATGTGGATGGACAAAAAGGAAATAATTGGGTTTTTTTTGTTGGAATTGGCCATTGTCGTCACAAAGGTTGAAGACTGAAGAATGAAAAAATTCGGGCAGGGTTTGAATGGTTGGGCCACTGGAGTTTCCTCTTCCAAGGATGTCAAGGGTTACGGTAAATTGCCGAAACATCATGAAAATTGACTCTAAAATCAGGAATTGCAAACTGTCTAGCGACTTTACACCGAAAATTCGAGTTTTTAAGCTGTTTTGTAACTAGAAAATTTGAACTTCGCGCGCCAACTTGTCCACGAGGAGTACAAAATTCAAAATCGATCAAAACCATTCGCTTGGTCAAATTTCACTGGTTTCTAGCAGTGTTGAGCAAAATCTAAGAATTAAACTTGGAAATTTTGAATTGGGCAATACGTCAGAATTGAATTTTCGCATCGGTTTTGCAGTTAGACGGATCCGCCGAAAAAACGGAAACTCGATAGTCGAGCTCTAGAAAATCTGAAAATGGCCAAATTGAAGCCTTCTGATTACGGTACTTCTAGGTTCCCAAGTTCCGGGCGGTCCAAAGTTTTCAGCCTGGCATGACATGTACATTTTTTTGAATCAAGTTTTTATGACATCGTAAATCATTGAAGGTCTTTACAGGTGGTCGTGTACTAATAAAATATAACATATGACACCTTCTCCACCTGAGATTAGTGTATCATGAGAAAGGAAGGAAGTATAGTACGATAGTACGATCATAAAGATGATTCGTCATGAATTCAAAAATTCGAAACATGAACTATTTTTAGAAGAGGAAAAGTGCAATTAAGTAGAACAGCTGACCCCATCTGGTACTTCTAGGTTCTTTTGAAGTTACATTGGTTTAAAACTTTTGGATTCATTAGAGGGGTTAGTCACGTGCGCGGTCCCGTGAGGTTCATCTGAAGGTGATAGGGGGCAAGAAACCGGATCCAGGAGGAATTGAAGGTCAAACGTACCAATTTTTGCGAGGGTGATTGGAAGATAACCCTTGTTAAGGATTCACTGGGGGTGCAATGTCCCTGATGCTGGTCGAGCCGCGGTCGGCCGCGATTTGGACCATAGTAGATGACCTAAGTTCCTGTGACGCAGGAAGCTTCACGTCATCAGAGCTTTTAATGAATTTCGAACAAAAAATTTTTCACGTTTTTAAATGAAACAGACCAAAAGCTGCTTTCTAACTAGATTTTTGTGATCCGGCACCCAAAAATTCGAATTATACGCCTAGAAAAACGATATACCCCCGAAGGAATTGAACTTTTGGCTTTTCTGATCCAAAGTCACTTCTATTACCAGAAGAGCCACTCGAACGCCACGGGCGGAGGTGTAACGCAGCCACCGCCATCGCGCGTCTTGTCCAAGTGGCGCAATCGGTAAGAGAAATGGATTTGGAGCAGAAAGCCAAAAGTTCAATCTCTTCGATTGTATATAGGTTTTTCTGGGCGTAAAACTCGAATTTTTGACTTCAAAAACCTGAAGATCAGATCGGAAACCACGTTTTCAAGAATCCAACGCCGAAATAGCCTCCGATCCAAGCGGCTTTTGGCGTCACTTTTTTGGTTAGGATCAATCACCAAAATTATCGCGTATCGAGAAAATTGAATGACCAAAAACTGCTTTCCAGCTAGAATTTTGTGGTCCGGCACTCAAAAATTCGAAGTTTACGCCCCAAAAACATATATACCCGCGAAGGATTCGAACTTTTCACCATTCTGCTTCAAAGACATCTCTCTTACCGGCTGTGCCACACGGACGCCCGCCCGCCGCGAGCAGGTGGCGCAGCCGGTAGAAGAAGTGTACTTGGAGCACAAAGGAGAAAAGTTCGATTCCTTCGGGGGTTCATAGGTTTTTTCGGGTGTAAATTTCGAATTTTCGTAGGAAAATATGTAAAAATCGCTCGGGAACAGTAATTTTTGGAGGAATAAATGTGTGGAAACATAGAAGTGCCTCCACAGGTACGGTATATTTGAAGACATGGTTCTCTAGAAAAATCCTAGACCGTTTTCAAACATTCCAAAGAACAGTACACAAGAATTTGGCTAGAAAAATCACAGATCAAATGTTTTAAAACACAAGACCCCCGCTTAAAAATTGATAAGAGCAAAAAAGAGGGGGAAAATGATTGTAAAGCAATTCTTTATATATAAAACGATAGAGGCGTCTGTTGGTCCCCCTGTCAGTCTGTGGAGCCGAAGGCGCACCAGCTAGCTGGTATTATATGTAAGAATTGGTAGCAGAATTAGGACACATCTTAGTTGTTCACAAGGTTTTTGAGTTAAACAAGTATTTTCAGGGTCCCTTGGAATCGGTGATTTTTTCTGTGATTTTCAAATTTCTCGAATTCCCGCCAGATGGATAACATGTTAATAAGTACTCACTCTTCTTTCTGCAGCCGCCAGGGTACTTTTCCGACTGGTAGTGACCAAAAGTGGACCATCACACTGAAGCTGGTTCATCGGCTCGTCCATTTTTTCGAGATCCTTGTTTTCGAGAAGTTTCTCCAGTTTTTCAGATTTTTCAGAATATCTGACGTCTTCTTCTTTTTTTTTTGGTGGAAGAGTCGAATATTTAGTTACAACTCTTTATCATTTTTTGTCTCCTTTTTCTTGTCGTCTGCGTCTCTTCAAATTAGAGGGCATGGGGTTTATATGGTTAAGAAAGGAGAGATAAGGGGAGAAGGAGAGAGGGAAAAGAGAAATTAATAATTTTTTGAGTTTTGCTGAGTGAGAGCTTCAAAATGAGTATAAACATGACTAGGTTTTTGAAATTTTGGGTTTTCGTGGTGGGACCCAGATATTTCGAAAATGTCAAATTTTGAGAAACATAGCGTTGTTTATACTCATTTTGAAGCACTTAATCTGGTGAATTCAGAAATAATTGGAAAAACATGAAAATCTCACATTCTGACTAGTTATGGACAAAAATCATTAAAAAAAAATGAATTTTTAAAATATTTTCCCAAATTTAGGGATGTTTATAGTTATTTTGAAGCTCTGAGTAAGCTGAATTTATTTATTCAAATGAAATACTTAAATTTATCATGACAAGAGCTTCAAAACCAGTATAAGCAAGACCTACTTTTCATAAAGTTGAAGTTTAAAAATCGATTTTTATGAATCTTTGCAAATTTTATTTTTTTACAAATCTGACCATGTTTAGACTCATTTTGAAGCTCAAAACAAGCAGCTCAACTTGATATTTAGACCTGAAATCTGAGTTTGATTGCTGAAGATTTTCAAAACCAGTATAAACAAAACCTACTTCTCTTAAAATTGATGTTTAAAAATTGATTTTTGAAAAATTCTTGAAGAATTTGGTCATGTTTAGACTCATTTTGAAGCTCAAGAGAAGCTTTATTTGATTGTGAAGAAAGTTTTGAATTTGGTTTTTTAAGAGCTTCAAAATGAGTATAAACAAGATCAGCTTTAAAAAATTATATTGCAAAAATTTGATTTTTAGAAAAGTTTTGAAAATGTTGATTTCTTACGAATTTGGTCATGTTTAGACTCATTTTGAAGCTCAAAACAAGCAGCTCAACTTGATTTTTAGACCTGAAATCTGAGTTTGATTGCTGAAGAGTTTCAAAACCAGTATAAATAAGACCTACTTTTCAAAGAATTGAAGTTTAAAAATCGATTTTTGAAATAGCGTTGAATAAGTTCATTTCTTACGAATTTGGTCATGTTTAGATTTATTTTGAAGCTCAGAAGAAGCTTATATTAATTTTTAACTTAAAATTTAAATTTGGCTTCTTAAGAGCTTCAAAACCAGTATAAATAAGACCTACTTTTCAAAGAATTGAAGTTTAAAAATCGATTTTTGAAATAGCGTTGAATATGTTCATTTCTTACGAATTTGGTCATGTTTAGACCCATTTTGAAGCTCAAAAGAAGCTTAATTTGATTTTAAAGCACAAATTTTTAAATTTTTAAGAGCTTCAAAATGAGTATAAACAAGACATACTCTCCAAAAAAATATAATTTTAAAAATTGATTTTTAGAAAATTCGGAAAATGCTGATTTCATACAAACCTCGTCATGTTTAGACTCATTTTGAAGCTCAAACGAAGCTCAATTTGATTTTGAGAAACACATTTAGAATTTGGCTTCTTAAGAGCTTCAAAATGAGTATAAACTAGACCTAGATTAGAAAATTTCAATTTCGAAAATTTTCAAAAAAAATAAATATTTGAAAAAATGTTATAATCGATTTTTGATGATAGAATTGAATTATTAAAACTTTTTTAACCTTAAAAAAATTCCAAAACCTGACAAGAAAATTTTCAAAAAAAAGAAGAAAAAATGACAGAAATCAGAAGAATCATCTATTCTCGGTTTCTCTCATCTCATCAAAAAAAAAGAAAATTCCTCAATACAGAGAAAAATATGAGACAGAAGAAGAAGACAAGAGAGATAGATAATAATCATTAGTAGAAGAAACATATACCCAAAAAAAAAGACAAAAAGAAAAGTCTTTTACACTCAAAATAGTACATTAGGAGGCGAATGGAGAATTAGAGAAAATACGAAAAGTTGTCGTTTTTTATTGATAAAATGACGACTATCAGCTTGGACCGCGGCCAACCGCGGCTAGATCACTTTTGAAAACATCCCAGAAGTAACCTGATCAAAAAACCCAGTTCGACAGCCTTGATGACGATTTACCATGATAAGGATATGATCGATTAATCAAGTTAAATTAGAATCAAATTAGCAAGTTAGGACACTATTAGAACTTGAGATATTCAAAAAATAAAAATTTTTTTTAGACCAAAAATTCCGAAAATCACTGTTTTCAAGCGATCTTCACTAATTTTCCTACGAAAAATCGGAATTTACACCCCAAAAAACCTATCAACCACCGAAGGAATCGAACTTCTCCACTTTCTGCTCCGGATACACTTCTTCGACCGGTTGCGCCACCTGGTCGCATCGGGCGGGTAGCGCTGCGCCCACGCCTGTGGCCTCCGCGTGGCGCAATCGGTAAGATAGATGTCTTTGGAGTAGAATTGTGAAAAGTTCAATTCCTTTGGGGGTTTATAGGTTTTTTGGGGCTGAAATTTTTGAATTTTCGTAGGAAAATTTGGAAAAATCGGTCGGAAACAGTGTTTTACAACATAAAGAATTGGAAAAAAATTCCAAAAAGCGATGAAGATAAAAATCTTCTACACATCATGTTGCCTTTTATATGTAACCCATTGTCATCATCATTACCTTCCACCTCTTTGAACTTTAACTACAGTAATCCCTTTTTCCCCCTCCAAAAAGATCGTAATCTATGGTATGGTCACTCACAGTCTCCACCACTTGCACCACTTTTTTCTCGCATTTCTCCTCCTTCTCCACACTATTCCGTCGTTCCTTCATCTCGATTTTCTCGAAACCAGCACCATCTTCCAGCGAACCCAACGCATCGGAATTTTGATTGTTCTAGAAATTTCGATTGGTCATTTTGTACTATGGTACCCGTGCGATAAAATCTCAAAATTTTGGGTGAAATTGGAAAACCTGGTGACCAATTTTTCAGAGATTTTTTCAGATGATAGAGGAAAAAAAAATTTGAGAAGGAAGGGGAATTTTCAACCATAACTTTTTAAATTTTTGAGCTACAATAATAATTTTTGTCACATTCGATTTCAAATTTTTATTTCCGCAAATCGGATTTTAAGCATTCTCAGAGTGGCAAAAATGGAAAATTTGCTATATCTCGCTTAGTTTAAAGCTAGAGTTTGGTTTTGATAGCATTAGGAATCAGCGAAAAATTTTGCATTTGAAAAAATCAAAAAATTCAGCTGTATCATTCAGAAAATGGAAAAAATCTGGCTTAAAGCGAGAGCTTTGAATTGAGTACCATTCAAATCTGCAAAACTACTATAATTTACATTTAGAAAATCGGCCATATCTTGCTTCGTTTTTAAGCTAGAGCTTTAAATTTTATACCATTAAATTAGCCTTTAAATTTTCTATTAGGAAATATAAAATTCAAAAAATCCATGCGTTCTTTACATCTTAAAATAGGCCATGGAATACTTGTGATCGAATATACCGATATTTGTGTTTGGAGCTCAATTATCTCAGCTCCTAATAAAGATATCAACATTTTGTCAACTAATAAAATGTTTATCATATTATCAAAAATATTTTATCAGTTGACACATTTTTGATATGTCTTCCAGGAGCCGAGATAATTGAGCTCAAAGTTCAAGTAGAGAATTTACGGTAATTCACTACTTTGTTTAGACTTTATTTTTTAGCTAGAGCTCTAATTTTTATGCCATTAAATTTATCTTAAAATGTTCTATGAAAAAACATTAATTACAACAATTCGTTGTATTTTTTACATCTTAAAATAGGCCAAGAAATACTTGAGTTTGAATCTACCGTTATTTCTTTTTGAAGCTCAATTATATCAATTTCTGTAAAAGTTATCAACATTTTTTCAACTAATAAAATGTTTATTACAATATCACTAACATTTTATCAGTTGACACATTTTTTGTACCTCTTCTAGGAACTTAGATAATTGAGCTCAAAGTATAAGACAAGAATGAACGGTCCCTAACCTGCAGAAAGCTAAATTGAAACTTTTAAAATTCGAAACAAACCTGATTAATGCTAGAATCAGAAATTTTAGTCGGCATCTTTTCCACAAGAAAACGGACAAAATGTCCCTTCTGATAGACTGATAATTTGTGTGTCCGTCCTTTTGTCTCTTTTCCGGCAGAATCTGTCCAGTTCTTCTTTTTGGAAACCGTTTTTGTATGTTTTTCGGATCATTTCGGGCGGTGGACCTGCGCTAATTCTCAAGGAGACTGGTCAGTTGCTCATCATTTGGATACCGGCAAACATTCTGCTTTTTTTCTTTTTTCCGGCAACAAAGAGTCCCCCAATGGGCAGTATTTGATAATGTGATAATGATATATTTGATTTCGGTTTCAATTTGGTTTATTAATAGAAGTGTTTCAAATTTTGACCTCAAAAAATCACCTTTTCGGATCGATTTTCATTATTTTCCCTATCAAAATTCGAATTCTACATCATAAAAACATATTACCCCAACTTGGCCTCGAACTTTTCTCCTTTCTGCTCCAAAGTCACTCCTGTACTCGAGAAACGAGTACTACTTCGTAGTTATTCTTCAAGCTCAGAACGATTTTGGACGTGACGTCACTGTTCTTTGCTCTTTTGTATCCCCCGCAACTGTAAGAATGCAATAATGTGCTCTTACAGATATTGCTTTTCATATGACTCACTTTCCCCCTTTCTTCTTTATCTTTCCACATCACTTTAATGTTAACTCCTCCCACTTTATTGTACTATATAAGCCCTCCGGGAATCTTATCTTTGTGTGTGTGTTCATATCCCAATAAACCATATAATCTAAAATATGGTGCACCTGGCGATCAAGACCGGACTCTAACCCGCGTGGCGCTGATGGGAGCAGACCTGCTTCCTCAGTACGGCGAGCAACAAATGGACCACCACCACCTCAACTCAACTTCCTGGATCAAAGGACAATATTCGTCGGCAATAAGGACAATCATATAAACCATATAATCCAAAATAACTCCTCTTACCAGTTGCGCCACCTAAACACGGCGCGCGGCGCCCGAGGAGCAGAGAAGCCGAAAGTTCGATTCCTTCCGTGGTATATAGGTTTTTCCAGTCGTAAAATTTGAATCTTTGCATGAAAATAGGAAAAAACCTGTCTGTAAAATAGAAAAAAAGATGAAATCTTTTATTAAAAACGGAGCAAAAGAGGAAATTTTTGATCAAATCAAACTTATTAAAATTAATACTGACTTATTAAGAAAATGCGAAATTATTAGGTATGTACATGGCACCTGTAGGGGAAGTTGAAAGAAAAAATCTAAAAAAGGAAGAAATTCAAGAATCTAATGACGACGACGGAGCTTCTTGGCCTTGCGGACTCTGGAAGTTTGTTTTTGGAACCTTTTTTGTGGAAAAAATTGAAAAAAAAATTACCGCTTCTTCATTTTCTTGGGTTTTGGCTTGATGGCTACTACTTCAACATTTCTATCGGATGAATCTGAATTAATTGGAAATTTAGATTTTGAAGGATTTCAAAGTTTTTTGGATTCTCAGATTTTTAGAATTCTCAAATTTTTGGAATTTAATGAATTTTTTCCCTGGGACTTTTCAAACTTTCTGAAATTCTCAGATTTTAGGATTTTCATAATTTTGAAGCTTTTCAATTCTTTGGGGATTTTTTTGGAATTTTCGAACTTTCAGATTTTTTTTGTGAGTTTTATTATCCTTGTCTGAGAAAAAACAGTTGAGACGCAGAGAAAAAGTGTCTGTGTCTCCACCTTATGTGTGCTATTTAGGCTCTCCGCTTCGATATCGCTACCGTATTCAGACTGCAAAAAATACTCTCTAACCTTTTTTTCTCAGACAACCATAATAGAATATTTTGAGATTTTCGTTTTTTTTTGAATGCAAGGATTTTAGGATTTTAGAATTTTTCGAACCATTTGGTTTTTTATGTTTTCGAATTTTTAAGATTTTTTGAAAATTTCAATTTTTTTGATTTTTCGGCCTCACCAGCATGATCATTTCCAGCGTTCGTACACCCATTCTCAAAATACACATCTTTCTGGAATTCGTCATATTTAAATTCATCAGGACTCGACAACGAATCCTCCGTCAGCAGTCTGCATTTTCCAGTGATCGGATTGAAAGTGGATGATCGGCAAGTGTATCTTGTGGACAGTACACACAACTCCACACACAATTGCATTCCTTCGTAGCCACGTGGCAATCCATCAAACTCCTCAACGGCTTCAATTCTCACCGAGTAGTCACGGAAGGCAACGAAATTCGAGCATCCGTCGAACACGGAAAATGTTCGGGGGTAGCAGAATTTTGTGGACGTTGAAGCTGTGAAGTCTCCAGAAGACGGTGCTTGAAGAGTGACACCGTCAGACTTGGAGCTCAAATGACACGTATGTGTCTTTTCGAAATATGTGAATGATCGGCAGTTCTGCAAAGTTTGGAGGTGTATCATTTAGAAAATCAAGCATATCTCGCTTAGTTTTTAAGCTAGGGTTTTGGTTTTTATACCATTAGAATTGTCGTAAAATTTCCTATCGGACAATATAAAATTCCAAAAGTCCATGCATTTTTCACATCTTAAAATAGGCCAAGAAATACTTGAGATCGAATATACCGATATTTGTGTTTGGAGCTCAATTATCTCAATTTCTGTAGAAGATATAAAAAATCTGTTAACTATTAGGAGCCGAGATAATTGAGCTCAAAGAAGTGACCGAAAAAAAATCACACCTTCTCTTGACAAATCTTCTGGCACTCTTTTCTTGATGGAACATTGGAATCTGTCTCTGAATCCTCGTGCTCATCGGCTTGCTCACTGTTCTCGAACGCGATCCAGACATCCACATCGTCCGATTGGCATTCTGAAAGAGAAAAATTGGTTTGACCGGGACGCCGCGGGCGAAGGAGCGGCGCCACCACCACCCTTTCGCCGGCGGTGTCCGGGTGGCGCAACGGCTAAGAGACTTTGGAGCAGAAAGACGACAAGTTCGATTCCTTCGAAGGTATATAGGTTTTTCTAGGCGTAGAATTCGAATTTTAGTGTGCCAAAGCACAAAAAGCCCGCGAGAAAGCAGTTTTTGGTCTGTAAATAGGCGTCTTTGAGCTTGAAAAAAACGCGTACCAGTGGTAATAACGTTTCCTCCCTCAATCTCATCATTCGTCTCATTCAACTCATCCAAAAACGATTTAGCCTTCTGAATATAGCTAGTGGAGGAGATGGTAACTGGTCTGAGGTTTGGTCGTCCAACAGGTTTTCGCCGAAGTTCGGATTGTTTTCGGAACGCCGCCTCCTCATCGAACTTGATCACTTTTGCACCGTATCTCAAGTTCTGCTTGAGCTCCTGGACTTCTTTTTCTGCAGATTTTTCTTCAGATTTTTCAGCAGAGGTTCCCATCAATTTCTCATATTTTTCACTGTCTTCAATCTTCAAAGCTTCCAATTTCTGATCTATCGATTTTTTGATTTCCGATGGTTTGGAATCCATCTTTTCCATCGAATCCATCCATCTTCTTTCACTTGACGTCTTATCCCGATACACCCCATTATTATCGATTTGAGATTCAGAATCACTGAAGGATCCAGTGAATTGGGATGGTTCCATAACGGACTTTAATTCTGCGTCCAACTCGGATTCATCGATTTTCACGTCTTCTTCCACAGTTTTTTGGGTCGTCGAAACTTCTAGAACGTCGTCGTCATTGCTCATCGGCGTAGTCACTACAGTAGTCGTCTCTGGAGACTCAAAAGTGACAGTTTCTGGGGTTTCCATTGGTGGTTGAGGAATTGACAGCTCCTGCTGGATAATATCATTATTTTGTGGGAATCCAGAAGTTGGGAGAAGTACTGGTGGAGCATCTGAAGGAGAGATGTTTGGATCTGAAGCCACTTCCGCATTGGATTCTGAAAATATAGAGGTTCCAACCTGATTTTAGGGGTTTTAGAGTCAAAACTTGAAATTGCAGACCAAAATTATCAAAAACTGCTTTCTAACAAGATTTTTGTCTCTCGAGAACCAAAAATCGAATTATACGCCTAGAAAACCCTATAAACCCCTGAAGAAATTGAACTTTTGGTTGTTCTGCTCCAAATCCATCTCTCTTACCGACTGCGCCACCGGGCGCAAGGCGTGCGTTAGTGGTGGTGGCGCCGCACCCCCGCCAGCGGCGTTCGAGTGGCTCAGCCAGTAAGAAGAGTGACTTTGGATCAGAAAAGCAAAAAGTTCGATTTCTTCGAGGGTATATAGGTTTTTCTAGGCGTTATATGCGAATTGTCGGGTGCCGGGGCACAAAAATCCAGCTAGAAAGTAGTTTTTGGTTATTCAATTTTCTCAAAATGAGATAGTTTTGGTGATTGATCATAACCAAAAAAATGACGCTTGGATCGGAGGTTATTTTTTCGGCGTTGTATTCTTGAAAATGTGGTTTCCAATCTGATTTTCAGGTTTTTGAAGTCAAAAATTCGAATTCTACGTTTAGGAAAACCTATATAGCCTGGAAGGAATTGAACTTTTGGCTTTTCTGCTCCAAATCCAGCTGTCTTACCGACTGCGCCACTTGAGCACGGCGCGCGTTGGCGGTGGCGCCACAGCCCGCGTTGCCAGGGTGGCACAATGGCTAAGACAGATGACTTTGGAGCAGAAAAGCTGAAAGTTCTATTCCTTCGAGGGTATATAGGTTTTTCTAGGCGTAAAATTCCAATTTTTAGGTCTCAAAAGAGCAAAATTGACTTTTAAAGCTGTTTTTGGTTTTTCTTGGCTTCACTTTTGGTAAAAAAAGTTCATCTAAACCATTTGTTATTCATTCCGAGAGGAAGAAAAAGTTTCACTTTTATCACTGAATGATATATGATCCTGATAAATTGTTATCTCCGAAAAAGAAAAGAACTTTGGGATGGAAAAAAAAATCGAAAAACTTACGCAGACAGGATTGAGAGACGACACGAAGGTAGGTCATTTTCGCTGACAGAATTGCTTGATCTACGCCTTCATCCGAAAAATAATGGCAAATGTGTTGGACGGTATCGTAGACCACCGAACGGCAGCGAGACTGAAAATTTGGGATTATTTTGGTTTGAAAATTTTGAATTACCGCTGACTGTGCACAGAAAAGCAAACACATATCCTCGGTACGCATTCTCCATTCACTGTGATACGGTCTTAAATTCACCAGCCGATGATTTGCATATCGCTCGAAACATGGTCGTAGAACTGGAAGACCTTCGATGGGCTTAACAAATTAAGGTCAAAAAACCTACCACTACTATCCGCGAAACAGGAACCAAGAAGCGAGATTGCCACTAACACAAGAGGCCTCATTCTGGAAAAACTTAAGCTTAAAAAACAACTTTCCAACTTAATTTCCGAGTTCGGAGACCCAAAAATTCGAATTTTACGGCTAGAAAAACCTATACGCCATCAAAGGAATCGAACTTTTCCTCTTTCTGCTCCAAAGACACTTCTCTACCCAGTTGAGCCGTGCCGGGCGAGCGCTCAGAGCGGTTGGCGCGCTCTGCCTGAATGGCGCAGCCGGGTAGAGGGATGACTTTGGAGCAGAACAACGAAAAGTTCGATTCTTTCGGTGGTTTATAAGTTTTTCTAGGCGTAAAATTTATATTTTTGGGTCTCGGAAGGCGAAAACTGACTTGGAAAGGAGATTTTCAGAAAGAAAGTTATAGGGAATTCGTTTTTTATACAAAATCGATTTTAGGGGCTTTTCAAACAATGATAATAGCTAATAACAACAGTTCAAGCCTCATTTGGAGATCCTGGAAGAATTTAGGCTTAAAAAACAACTTTCCAACTTAATTTCCGAGTTCGGAGACCCAAAAATTCGAATTTTACGGCTAGAAAAACCTATAAGACATCAAAGGAATCGAACTTTTCCTCTTTCTGCTCCAAAGACACTTCTCTATCCAGTTGCGCCGTGCCGGGCGGGCGCTCAGAGCGGTTGGCGCGCTCTGCCTGAATGGCGCAGCCGGGTAGAGGGATGACTTTGGAGCAGAACAACGAAAAGTTCGATTCTTTCGGGGGTTTATAAGTTTTTCTAGGCGCAAAATTCATATTTTTGGGTCTCGAAATGCAAAAATCGAATCGGAAAGGGGTTTTTGAGGAATTTGTTTTTCATAGAATAGAGTTTATGGACTTTTCGAAAAGGCTAGATTTTAAGAAAGTTGTGGGCTAGTAATTTCAATATTTAGTATCACAAAAAGGCACGAAAAGGCACAAAAAAGAAAACGAAAGCCAAAAAAAGTGAGAAATTGAAACAAAACGCGATTATCGAGAAAGGAAAAGGGAAACGAAGACTTTCTTGATTCCTAGGAGGAACAAAGAAACCTCTGTGTGACCTAATTTTTATATCTTCCTATCCACTCCTCGGCTTATCCCCTCCCCAGAAGGCTCGCCTTAGCCGATGCCTGATAAAACAAAAGACGGGAAGTGGGCGGAGCCTAGACGGGGGGGATAAGGATAACAGGAGAGACAAGACAAGAAAAGACATTCATCAATCAACAAGTGCAAGAAGAACTTTCGATTTCAATACGATTTTCTCTTTTTGTTTCGGGAAGAGATATTTGTGTATATGTATATTTTCACTTTTAGATATCGCACCTGTGGATTTGGGCTGGGGGAACATTTTTGAGAAAAAAGAGGAAAAATTCCAGATTTTCAGATCACAAAGAATATTTAAACCCCGATTTCCATAAAAATTTTTATTTTTGACGAAATTTCTCCGATAGCTTTTTTTCATACTTGTAACAGGCCGGGCCGGGCCGGGCTTTTTCCCGAATTTCGGAGGCCCGGCCCGGCGGGCCTGTCATTCCACAAGTTTTGAAAATTTCAAAAAACACGTAAGGGGGGGGGACCTTATGTGATTTTTTTCGAGTTTTTAAAAATATTTTTTGATCAAACAGACAAACAATCCAAAAAGCACAAAAAACATATAGAAAATTGTATTGAGAGCTCAAAATTCGGTTCAAAATGACAAAATTTTTGCTACCGGGCCTTCCGGGCCGGGCCCGGGCCTTGAAATTTTCCTCAGGCCCGGCCGGCGCGGGCCCGGGCTTTGGCGGGCCGGCCCGGAATTTTACAAGTATGTTTTTTTTCGAAATTTGCTATTTTCAGAGTATCCCAAAAAATTAATTTCCGAAATTTGAAAATTTCAGATTATCCCTTTTTTAATTGGAAATTTTCAGGTTATTAAAAAAATTTTATTTTCAAAATTTCAGATTACACCGAAAAAAAGTTTTATTTGAAATTTTCCGATTTTTCCTAAAATTTTATTTTCTAATTTTCAGATTTTCAGATTATCCCAAAAAACTTTTAAATCAAAACTTACAGAACTTTTTCAGATGGGTCATCGTAAAATCTCAAAATATCTCATATTTTAAATTTCGAACAGCTCCTTTTTGGCTAAAATGTTTATTTATTTAATTCCAAGCCATTTTTCATTTTTCAACTCTCGGCGCCCGACCGCAGATGCCCGAATGGCGCAACTGGGTAAAGGAGTGACTTTCGAGCAGAAAGAGGAAAAGTTCGATTCCTTTGATGGCTTATAGGTTTTTCTAGCCGTAAAATTCGAATTTTTGGGTCTCCAAACTCGGAAATTAAGTTGGAAAGTTGTTTTTTAAGCCTACATTCTTCCAGGATCTCCAAATGAGGCTTGAACTGTTGTTATTAGCTATTACATTGTTTGAAAAGCCCCTAAAATCGATTTTGTATAAAAAACGAATTCCCTATAACTTTCTTTCTTAAAATCTCCTTTCCAAGTCAATTTTCGCCTTCCGAGACCCAAAAATATGAATTTTACGCCTAGAAAAACTTATAAACACCCGAAAGAATCGAACTTTTCGTTGTTCTGCCCCAAAGTCATCCCTCTACCTGGATGCGCCATTCAGGCAGAGCGTGTCATTTTCTCTGAGCGCCCGCCCGGCACGGCGCAACTGGGTAGAGAAGTGCCTTTGGAGCAGAAAGAGGAAAAGTTCGATTCCTTTGATGGCTTATAGGTTTTTCTAGCCGTAAAATTCGAATTTCTGGGTCTCCAAACTCGGAAATTAAGTTGGAAAGTTGTTTTTTAAGCTTAAGTTTTTCCAGAATGAGGCCGCTTGTGTTAGTGGCAATTTCGCTTCTTGGTTCCTGTTTTGCGGATAGTAGTGATAGGTTTTTTTGACCTTAATTTGTTAAGCCCATCGAAGGTCTTCCAGTTCTACGACCATGTTTCGAGCGATATGCAAATCATCGGCTGGTTCGATTCCAATGGAGATTTATAGGTTTTTTGTGGTGCAAAATTTGAAAGTTTCTAATTTCAGATATCCTCTTCTCTCGCCGGTTCATTCAAACATTCTGTCTTCTCTTCCAGCCAGATCACACATAATTTTCTATCTTTCTGACTCATAATTCCCTAATTCCTTCCTTCCGTGCACTTTTCCATGTTACGTGTGAGCAAGCACCTGGTGTGCTCAAAAATGTTCAGATTTTTTGATGTTACATAAAAAAATTTATTGAGATTAGACAAAAAAAATCTGACTCATTTGAACATTTGGAAGTAAAGTGTTTTGTTTTCATGATTTCTTACTTCTTGGCCTTTTTGTAGATCCAAAAACTGTTGATACAGTATTCCTGGACCTAAATTTTTTTTTTCAAAATTCATTTCCTCGTTCTGTTTTTCACCTTTTCACAGCTGATTCAACTACATTAGACCACCATTTCAGAATGATGGAAATAAGCGACCACTTAAAATTTTCAATTTCGATAAAAGTGAAAATCTTTGATTTTTATTTGAAGACAGACAGTCAAAAACTGTGTTATTGTCAGTAAATTTTTTTTATCAGCAAACTTTTTTTTACTTCTTTTGGGATAATCTGAAAATTCCAAATTTCTGAAAAAAAATTGTGATAACCAAGGCCGGCAAGAAGTAGCTCAGCGACCGGAAACCTTCAATATTTTTTTGGAAGTTCAACTCTTCAAAAACCAAAATCAAATTTTTGAACATTTATTTTATGTCGCATCATTGGAACTTGTAAACGAACCAACGACGGACCAACAACAGGCCGACGTATAACTTCCCTCAGACTTGATATTTTCTTATCAGCTAAAAAGATTGTGATAGAACTTGATGAGTGCTACAAGATGATATTATTCAAAAATTTGTAACTTGTCTATGAACAAAGTTACAAGCTATTTTCAGTTGATTTTGGACCATTCTCACCATTTTCAGGAGTCTGGAGATTGGCTGTTGAGTGTCCGATCATTTTGAAAATTTAGAAGAATTCGAAAAAAAACCTAAATTGAAAAGTTTGCATTCACAGAATTAAAAAAATTTTTAATTAAAATTTTTAAAAATCCCCTTTCATCGAGATAAAAGTCAATAACATTTTTAGCTTATGATTCTTTTTTTTCCAGTTTCTATCGAATTTTAAAAACTCCTATGGAGGATCTTTGCGATTTTTAAGAGTCTCTCAAAGTCCCGAAAACCAAAATGAAACTTATTTTTCTTCAATTTTTGTTGCCGATTATGTTTAAAGGCGCATGGAGCCTCGAAAAATCGAAAACTGCTGAACCTAGTCATGTTTATACTCATTTTGAAGCTCAAGTCAAGGCAAACTCAAAAAATGTGTTGTAATTAAATTTGGACTGAAATTGGATGAGTTATGGTCTATACCAAATTGATCTCAAAGTTTGCACGTACATGATTTTTTTTAAACGATTTTTTTTTCTCCGTTTTTGTATTTTCTACAGTTCAAAGGAATCAATTTAAAGACTGTCTGGACCAATTTTCTCATACCAAAATTTTCAATTTTTATAAAATTTGGCTCATATTGATCAGCAATTCCCCCCTCAATCCAAAGAGCCCCAAACTCACCAAACTAATCCATGCGAGCAGTGGCCACGCGGCCATTTGTACCGTATCCGGTAGAAAGGCGCCGGTGAGAAGGCACGCCGTCATGTTAGTGTCAAGAATCGAAGTGGAGGGGTACAGACGCACTTCGCCGAGTCGTTCCATGATTAGAAGAGATGATTCTGGTGGCAGAAGAGGAGAGGATGACATATACCGTAAAACCTGTATTAGAAGGGCCCCTCTAATTGAAGTGCCCCTTTGACTATCCCCTTTGATTTTCAGCCGTTTTTTTTCCGTTGTTTTGATTGAATCATTGTCTAATTTTTGAAAAACTGGCACATGAGAATTTGAATGCCGTCGCTATATTACAGATTTTCGTCTCGTTCGAGCGATTTTCGTTTGGATTTTCAATTTGAAAAATTTCAAGAAATTCCAGCGAATTTTACCAAGGAACCTGAATTTTATTCACAAAATCCGACTACAT